TAGCAGGTACCAGTACTGATCTGGCCCCAGAACCCCTAACTGCCGCCTCAAGGATTGAACTCACAACCCTGGGTTTAGCAGGCCAATGCTCAAACCACTGAGCTATCCCTCCCCCCGTTTGGTTTTGTCTGATGTGTATGATCTGTATGTATGTGTGTATTCTTGATTATGGATGAAACAATAGAAATTGCTTATTGTGACAGCAAGCTGTGGTTACTACCTAATGGTGGGGGATTGACCAGATACCTTAACTGTCCATTTCTAGGCTTTCAAATGTTTTTGAGGCTACAAGGAGTGGAGTGTGCCACAAATAGGTTTAAAAATATGTGGTTGGGCGTTCACACCCACTACAGCTAATACCCTCTCCACTTTCTTTTAACAAAGTACCTTGTGTGGCTGTGCAGAAATAATATGTTGTGTCTTTTGCTCTTTACGCAATGGAAATAATACAAAGGCACCACATGGGCACAATGAGGTCCATATAATTATGTTTGTTTTTTTTAACTATATACAATGTGTAAGACCTAGCTACCTGTTCAAATTACTGCTCTGGCAGATTTGTAAACATAGAACCAAAGAGTGCCACTAGAGAGTTCACATCCATTTAAAGAGACACTACCCAGTTCCCGTACACTACAATATATACACATACCAAATATAACACAACACACACACCATAATACACACACACCCCCCAATTGATTTCTATAGTATTTTGTTATTTCTAGTTGCTAAGTAGGTCTTCAGAAAATCTAATACTTATAGGCTAAGTAGTCATAAATACTATTATATGCTCGAATAATTTTTTTATAAAAATATGGAAGCAGTCAAAAATCCAGTTTCACAAAGATCCACACAAATTTCTCCACTCAAAACTCATAATCAGATACATGGGTTTGACACATTTACATTCCTAAAAAAAAAAAGCTACTAATGACCTAGCAAGAAAAAAGGCCAGATGATGATTAGAGAGACAAGGTAGATGAGGTAATAGCTTTTATTGGACCAACTTCTGTTAGTGAGAGAGAGAAGCTTTCGATCTTACATAGAGCTCTTCGCCAGGAGAAGAATTAGAATTAGACATCTTAGGTTAATAGGATACTATCTCTATGGATATAAGTTACAATGCAAGATGAGTTTCTCTGAACCCTGCCCTACTTCCCAATTTTCCTTTCATGAGAAAGCAACAGAATTATCCAAGCAACAGCAGCAAAGCCAGTGCTTACATTCATAGCAAATTGCTCTAAGGACACAAGGTGTACTGTTGTGGTCATGAGAGTGAACAATATGAGCATACAGGATTTCTCTGGGGAAATCACAAAGGTTTGTCTGAGCCAGTTACAGGAGCATAAAAGAATCCCAGGCTACATACTGATTCTTCAGCATCTAAACAGTAAGCTATTTCCAACAGCTATGTAAGTGCTTTAATAACAGTCAGGCTGGCTCTGATGCTGCTTTTACAAATTGCAAAACAAAACAGTTCCAGCTGCCTAAATATCCTATCTACCAGTGTTAGAACATCATGTCAGACTCATGCACTGGTACAACATCTTATAAATTAGAAGAACATCAATGCCCCATGGTTAGTGCTTTGAAAGGCACACAAGGCAAGATTCAGTTCTCAAATCCAGTCTCTCATGCCCTGAGTCAGCAGAGCACTGTAGAGGTCTGGGGTGAAATCTGGCCCCACTAAAATTAAAAGGGGTTTTGCCTTTGACTTCAATAGGGCCAGGATTTTATCCTTCATGTTTATCCTTTGGAGCCAGTGCCTTACACAGCTCTGCAGTGACCATTCTGTGGCCAAGATAGGAGAAGTATTGAGCAGATGTCACCTTTAGAGCTCTTCAGTCATGGCAGTTCATTAAAATCTAGGCCGCAGCTTGAGGGGCGGATGGTTTCTGACAGCTGGAAGCTGGGCAGACCAAGACTTCTGCATGAAATGAATCCTGAGATAACCCACCTCCATTTATTAACAATCTTCTCTGATCCTTGGCACCATTCACCCTCAACCTACCTCCCTGTTGCTTGTTCTTGGCTCACTTGGGAACAGGCAGGGGAAAGTGGTCAGCCAGAAGCATAATGTTTCTGCAGACTAAAGAGGAAACCAGGTAGGTCTGAGCAAGAAGAGGGGTTAACATGGGAGAGAGATGGGTAGGGAGAGAGGAAAAGTTGGTTGTGACGATGGAAAGTCTGCAGGACATATGATGGCTGGTGAGGTGGAAAGGAGATGAACCTCTTGAGGATACAGAAAAAAAAGAGGATTGAGAATAGTGGAAAAAGCAGGATTGAGAACTGATACATTTCATTTGAGTCAAAAAGTCTCCTCAGCGCAGTTCACAGGAGGAGGCTGTCTAATGAATAGACTGATTCTCAGTGCTGTAATGGTTAAGATTATATTGATAGTGGGTGCTCCCTGTCCTTTAGAACACAATCCAGCCATTTCTTCCCTGCCTCCTGCAGAGCACCATAAATGGGCTGACTAAATTATCTGTCATAAATGCAAGGATTGGTCTTTAATATAATTTGTGAGCATCATGATGGAATGAGTCAACCAATGCTCCACTAAAGATTTTAATTATGGAAACTGTGATGTGATATGGAAACTGTTCATATCACCAGCAAGTAGCGAAAGACTGAAAATGCAACTTGGAGGACAGTTTTAAAGAGGCCCTGGTAGATGACGAAAAGCTCTAGAAAAACCAGTCTTCACTGAGTTAGGTAACCAGTGCTAATTAACAAGTTCTGATGCATTGGTGTATTGTGTGCATCAAAAACACAAGCAGCATAGTTGGGGCTATTTTAGCAGTAAGGATACTCAGCTTCAAGAAAGGCAGCAAATAAAGAATTCCAGTAATTTAATCTGAAAGACATAAATCATGAGTGAAAAGCTCTCAACATCAGTAATGGAGAGAAATATCCACAATCTAGGAAGGTTTCAGTGACAAAATGGCAGTTTTTCATACATATAAAACTACAAGAAAAAATTCTCAATCAAGATACCTGTTTGAAATAGAACTGAAGGTCACCAAAGGCCAGAAGAATATGACTGGCATTTCTCAGTAAATTTAAGGAGACAATCACCAGGAGCTCCATTTTGGCAACATTTAGCGACATGCGATTTCGAAACATTAATGCCTGCAAGACAAGAAAAGACCCAGAGAAGTTGGATTTCAAAGACAGTCATAACTGTATCACCGGCATAAAAATGAAATCTGACATTATAACAATGAAAAATTGTTCTGGGACAAACTAGAAAACAATGGTCAAAGTAAAGAGTCTCATGGCAATTCTGAGGAAAATAGAACAACTCACCCTATTGCAGTGAGACATATCTCTTACAATACCTGAAGTCATGAAAAATACATGTGAATGCTGCAATGTTCTGCAAGTGACTCTCAATACATCAGCAAAATTCTGCGCCCTGCCTGGGTTATAACTTGAATTATTTTTAGCGTCCACGAAAGGTACTGAATTGACAAACCTGTCCAGCCTGACTTTGAAGGATAGGTACAAAACTAGAGAAATGCACCATTGGTAATCAAATCAGTGGATCGCCTTAGTGGAAAAAGTAATGGTGCAGTGCAGTCACACAGACCATCCTGTTTCAGTCCTGCCCTGCAGCCACACACACAGCACTCTAGTAGCTGTGGTAGTTGCACTGCCCTCTGGACACCTATCCCACAGTTCCTGACTCAGCTCCTTGAAGTATCAACATATGCAGAGTCTGCAATAGGATTCTGAGTGACTAAAGATATTGTATTGCCCCTTGAGACCCTGTGTCTGCACTGCTCATGGTACCCAGCTTGAGCATCTGTATAGACACCTGCTCATAAATCATACTTCTGATAATGCAGTACAGCTAAAACTATATCTCCTCAATGTCCTATATATGTTCCTTGGGCCATCCCAAAGCAATCTTCTTTCAGAGAGATGATCCCCAAGCTGCTTGGTGGGTTATCACACAGAAGTGGATGCTGGTGAAAAGGTGAACACAGTGAGATCTAAGGTTTGTGCACAGCCTAAATTGTACAGGTGAGGAACTGCCAGAAAATGATCCTGCACTGCAAAAATAAATAAATAAGACCAGGTAGCCCACTTAGTAACTAGTGCGTTGTGAAACAATGGTATAAGGACCAATTAATCTGCTGCAGTACTACTCCAGGAGCCTGCTATCTACACTAGCACTACATCAATACATATTAATATGGAGGTAGCGAACAGTACTTATTCCTGTTCAGGGTAAATGCAATCCCAATGATGTTAAGAACTCCTAAGCGCTAGTAATTGCAATTTTTGTGTATGCATGGAGTATTACAGGCATGCTGTGTGTTGTAATGCCAATAGTCTATAGTGCAGACAAGGCCCAGATGTGAGAGAGTAGTTAAAGTTCAATGGTAAATTCAGCACTTGAGCTTTTGCGGAGACTGCCAACAAGATCATCATCATAGTGCTAATTATTACAGTGTTTTTCTGTGATGTGGCTATTTTGGTGTATCAGGTAAATGACACTTTAGTCAATACCAAAATTGATAATAAATGTGTGTTTTCTGTAGAGACTACCAGAAACTACTCGATAAACCTCTGGTACCTCCAAACCTGGGAACAATTCTGACCTCATTTATAATCTTTGTTCCTGAGGTTGGAGGGGAATAAGTGTTAATAGTAGTCATTATTATTTATATAATGGCAGCACCTAGAAGCTTCATTCGAGGGTTAGGGCCCCATCGTGCTAGGAATTGTACAGAAGAATGAACCAAGAAGACAGAAATCACAACATACATGACAGGTTGCAACAGGTGGATAAAACAGACCTATTGGGTGGAGTTGGGGTGGGAGACTGAGGTAAACAATAAATAGAGTTTAGCAGAAGAGCAGAAACCATAGTTTGTTATTTTCTGAGCCACTGCCAGCTAGGGATGATTTATAGATATCACAGCAGAGGGAGGTTTCACTGGAATAATTTCTTGCAATGCATATCCAGACATGTCAAAACACAGATAAATCAAAAGAAAAATCTTTTAAACCACAGTGTTTACAGTTAGAAAGTTCTTTGATGACATTTAGACACTAGCTTGGTATGCACTGAAAATGGAAACACAACATTGTACACTAGTATTTATTTTATGTGGTATTTTTCCTTTCTCTCTCTAGATCACATCAACAGACTCTTTTTTTCTTCTCTGGGGAAGGCAATCTGCTATTGCTTTCCTGTTAAAATGCTTACAATATGGAGGAACATCAGGAACAATTAGCAAAAATCGCTGATGTGAACTTGGTAGAAAGCATACATCAACTCTCCTAGGAAATCTTAAGAACGGCATAAAACAGAAATCTGTCATTTCATTTTTCAGAAAGACTAACAGCATATAGTAACTTACAGGAGAACTATGAGTATATTGCACAGAGAGTATATAAAAAGCTTTGCTTATGTATTTTATTTTTCTCATCATCTTCACTGTTTACCACATTGCAGCAGAATCTCCTGTGATGGGCTACAGCTGTTGCAGCATCATGTGGCGTTCCCTCCTCCTTCCTCCCCCCAGCCCCCAGAATCACAAGACTACAGTCCCTATCATATCCTCAGCCTTCTGCTTACCAGACAGCTTTGATCAGAATGGTCCCTGAAGGAACCGGATGATGTAGCTATGGTCTGTTCTTGCACAAATGTACACAAGACAGCAGAAGATGGGATGATGATATGTCATGTGATACAGTATACCCACTGATACAATCCGTGGTAAGACAACTGTATACATTGCAAAAAAGCATCCAGGCAGCAGGGGATGTTCCCAGGGAGAAGACATTTCTTTTTAACAATTAGAAGCAACACCAATCCTTCATGTCATTTGCTTTCCTTTTATTGCTTTGATTTTTGTTAATGGCAGACAAAATTTTTACTTGAGGAGGCCTATGTAAATATATATTTAGATAACCCACTAAGATTTTGTAATCTTTTCTTTCCCACATTCCAAGATCTGTTTAGTGAATCTGTAAATTTTTAGTCAAACAACAACATTTTATTACATTTCTTGAAAATAAAATATCAGCAGAAGCCTAAAAACATTTTGGGACAGATTTGAATACTTTTGCTCATATTGAGTAGCATCTTACCTCCTGAATGGCCCATTGATTAAGTTTGCTGAGTAAGGTATTACCCCATGTGAATAATATCAGAATATAGCCCTTGTGAGCCCAAAGATGTGAGTAAGGCTGGAAGAATCAGGTCCAAATTAAACAACAAATATTCTGTTTTGTATGGGGATTCTTTAATTTTGGACCTGACTCTTCCATCCTTCCTCACATTGAGTAGTATTTCACTCTGAGTAGTCCGAATTAAATCAATAAGACTACCTGCCAAGTAAACTACTAATCAGTGTGAAGTAGACTTTGTCTACACCAGCACTTTTATAGATAAAGCTTTTATCAAAGGTGTGAAAAAACGCCCCCTGACCAACATAAATTTCTCTGATGGAAGCGCCGGTGTGGACAGCATGGGAAAGTTTGACATTTCAAAATTTCCTACAAACCGGAAATTCCTAAGAAATTTTGTTTCATAAGCACTGACACACTGTATTTCTGAATGAAATCTGCTTCCCAGGACCCACTCAACACCTGCTTTGCAGTCATGAAACAGACAAGAATCATGTCAATTTCAGTTGGGCAGCCAGGGTCCACATCTAAGGGACAGTCTACTATGTGGACTGGCCCCAGGGCTGGGGACCCCAGCAGTTCCAGGCTTCTGGGTCAGCAGACTCCTTATGCTGCCTGACTCTCAGGGCAGCTGGCTCACCAGGCTACGCAAGTGTAATTACATTGTAGTTATGATCCAGTTGCAGTGTAATTAGATTGTGGTCATACTTTTAGATACCTGTGATTAATATTAATTCATATAACCAGAAAGTTTACTACATGATAGTATAATTATAGGATAAAGCCTATGTGATTAAAATACCCATATTATAAACAAACATTTAGCCAGTGTGAAATGAAGAGGTAATAAGTAATTCAGTCATGTAGTAATCTGCCAGTTAAATGAATTAGTGATAATGACAGGTATCCAAAAGCAAAACTAGTGTATAATAGTGTGTAAAACTCACTGTATAATAATCAGAAACCAAAATTTCTTTACATGCTGGAGGAAGAAGACTGTACAAATCTGAAACTCCAGAAATAAAATTTTTGATTATTTTTTTTCTACTTCAGAATAGTGTGAAAATTTCTGAGGATATGTCAGAAATTCTAATATGTTGTGCAAGTAGAACTGGCAAAAAAATATTAAAAGTTTCACAGTGTATGTGAACATTTTGCATTAATCTTAAGGAAACTGAGCTATGTGCAATTGTCAGGTACTGGCTGCTTTCTGTGGCTTTCATAACTCACTCAAGGCACACTAGCATGACAGAATATTTTCAGAAGCAGGAAATAGGGCACGACTGGAATTTTGTTTAGTTGGAGTGCTTAGCTGAGGGAAACTCAACCCTAGAATATGCTCACCAAATGACACGTCCATACTAACACATCTCAGAAACCAATAATGGGAAGTGGATTGACTGTATGGTTCCATAAACATGGTCACCAGCTAAACTCTACACATGTGGCACTGGGGTAGTATTCAGGTCTATCTGCTGCAAAATATAGGCCCATATCACTTGAGCTAAAGGACCATCTCAGATAACTTTGTGGTATTAAGATTTCTCTCTGCTTTGTGGACTAGACACTAAAGGGAGACAGTCACGTATATTCAGGTCCCAATACTTTACATTTGCAAACCACACCCACTCAGTGTAGGGCTCCACCCTGCTTCCAGCCACATATAGAGTTTGATGAGCCTGCTTAAAACCTTGGCTAACAGAGATGGCTCTTTAATGCAGGCAGTAGAGGCTCAGGTGTTTAGATACAGAGGCCTCTGTTTTGATCCCTACTGCAGATGACGCACCCAGGACACAATGTAAAACATAGATTAAACTCTTTGGGTTCATAGAAGTTGAAATCAGTCAGGCACTAGTCTGTAAGCCACCTTCTGCATAGTTTGGTTTTGTGTTGTTGACTTCACTGTTCTGTTCCCAACTGTGTGAGAAGAGGACGACACTCAATGAATGAGGCATTGTCTACAATACAAAGTTTTGTTGACAAAAGGCAGCTACACACTACACACTACAAAGCTACTTTTGGCCGCAAAACTCTGCTGTTTTG